ACCTCCTTTATGTCGTTGCTCAATTTTGCTATTATTTTTCCATTTGGATGAGATTTCTTCAGCAAGCAAAAATGAGCTCTGCTCTAGCAGCTATGGAAGCCGCGGCTCTAAAAGCTATGAGAGAGAATGGAGAAGGAATAGAACAAGGACCAGCGCTACCTTGTAAGTTTCCTTTCTGTTTCTTGTTATTCTGTTCAAATTGTTGATTTGACTGATAATGTGCTGGATTCCAAAAAGCAGTATGGAGCTGCTTATGCTTCAAGGTGCCCTACTTCCCGTTTTGTTGTCGTCTCTTGGAGAGGAGCATTTGTTGTTGCGCATTCTGCTGTAAGATATCCAAAATGACACGGAGACGATAAAAGCTCGCTGTGCGGCTGACTATTCGACTGATGATTCTGTGTTTGAGCTTCATGCATTCCAGTTCCAGTTTTATTAGTGGTTTGTCTAACAGAGGATTCCATTTATAGCCTATATCCCTTGAAAAGTTGATCCATGTTCACTTCTTTAAAGGCTTTACTCGCGATAACACCCTTCTTAGTGAAAGAAAATAGCAAGTGAAACGATGACAAACCCAAGAACGGAACTTGTTTACCACCCGTAATTTTTGAGAGTGTAATAGGTTTGGGTGGAATTAAATTATGCCTTAATCGAGATGGCGATTGTTAGGCAGTTACCGCTTCGCTAGCCGGGGCAGCGGTGCAATTTGGAAACGATAACCAGACAACTAAGGTAACGGTTAAGTTTTCAATACTTTGCCGTCATCACCTCTCGTCGTGCCGGCGGTAGGCGCGTTGAAGAACCGTAAAGCCTTTTAAGGCACATACGAGGTCCAATCACGTTGTTGATAGTTCATGTTCTGCTTCAAATGTGCCACCTTTCGTATAATTGGACCCTCTCCTACATTCTTTACTACACATCTATCTTTTTGAGTATCAGTTAAATCACGATTTTTGTCTTTAAGTTTTATCAGTTTTATCAAAATAATCTAAAAATGTATCACTTTTGAAATTCAGTCACTGGATTGTCGTCGAAGATCTTCGACCCAAGACAGCTGAAGGATGTTGGCTCCTTCGCACGCGAGATGGCGAAACGCAAGAACGAAATGGTGGAAATGAAGAATCAGAAGAGAGTGAGTCGTATTCAGTCGCTCAGGTTTGAATAAATGACGGTTTTATTTCGTCACTCAGGCGGCGCCGCAACCAACTTCTTCCATGGCATCGAAATACTTCAAAAAAGAAATCCCACACGTGGTGGATTACTCAGGTAATGTACGGTCGTGCTTGTTCGATAAATCTTAAGTTTAATAGCGCAATATATTCAGAGTTCACAGCGCCCGTACCGAAGGAAGAAATGGGATCCTCTGCTGAAATACAATGGGCAGAAGCCGATGCTGGTGACGGCAGAACATATTACTTTCACTTATACACTGGAGGTATATATTTCTTATAACTGTATTTCACGACTTAGAAAACCATGCCGAATCACTGTTTTAAAGAGGCAACTTGGGAACGGCCAGAGTTCTTCTTTACTAAAGAACAATATAATGCACTCATTCAAAGTGGTCTAAATTCTGCGATTAAGATGGAAGTTTCAACTATAAAAGAAGGTATGTAATAGCAGTTTCAAGTTATTTGTCAATTCCATTAAAGAACGTTTTTTTAAGAAGAACCTTCAACCACTGTTCCTCACGGATATGCCATAACTGCGAGCGAAACGCCAATCGAACAAACAGTCGTACCGGAAGTGAAGCTTGAGCCTACTGAAGAAGAAGAAGCAGCAAATGTTCCTCACAGCATTTACGATATACCGCTTCCTGGTCCCAGTGAGTTTTTGAAGAAGGTTGTCTTTTTGACACAAGCACATTGACGGTATTGGATGCGCGCGCTGTCTTCGCTGTGCCAAATTGCTTATAAAATTGATTCTTTTTGAAGATGACCTCTACAATAGTATTCTATAGCTACTATCGGTCTAGCATGAGTCGTTTTCTTGTTCATGTAGCAAGCTCTGATGCATTCATAATGTAGGAGGTCTTTCTATCTATGTCACTGGAAAGAGCAATAGAGCAAATTTAGTAACGATTCAATCCAACGATCTCCCATCTGTGAGGCCGACCGCGACCGCTTCCACGGCGCATTTATGCTTTATAACCCCGTACAGCAGATAAAAGCAGTTGTGGGTTCCGTTAACGAAATGTTAGTGAACTGAGCCCAATTGTGAATTTAGTTGGTATTTCTTTATTATATTTTAATGCCATAATCATTTCCAAGATCGACTCTTTCTAAAGGAATTGGAATGAAAATGGGAAA